CTTCTTTTAAAGTGTTGACGAGCAAAGATGTCAGTTTGAGGACCAAGGTATGCCTGCCCCAAGTCATGTTATTTTCAATAACTGCATATGCATGAGAAAGTTGAGCAATAAATAAGGAAAACTGGAGAAGAATTGATGCATTTGAATTACAGTGTTAGAGAAGAATATTTAAAGTTTCATGGACTGCCAAAAGAACAAACAAACCTGTCTTGGAAGAAATACAGCCAGAATGTTCCTTACATGTAAGGATTGCAAGACTTCATCTCTCATACTTTGGATATTCTATCAGAAAGACATCATGCTTGTTAAAGTGAGTGGGTCAGAAAAAATCCCGATGAGCTGGATTTACACAGTGATGACAACAACAGGTTCCACCTTGGGAACAACTGTGAGCATGGCTCAGGACTGGACAGTGCTTCATTATGTTGTACGTAGGTTCCCTATGTGTTAGGACCAACTCGACGGCACCTAACAGTAACAACAAATAAATGGGAATCGTTTCATATAACAAGGTTGCTGTAAGTTTGGTTGTTTGGTTTTTATACCTGTGGATATGAATACATTTGGGAACAGGGTTTTCTTTGTTATGATCATGAGGCCATATCAGTGTAGGGTATGCTTTAGGAAGACAGGGAAGGAGCCCCTGGGTGGTGCACAGTTATATGCTTGTCTACTAACTAGAGGCTGGTGGTTTAGATTTGCCAGAAGGTGCCTTTTAAGAAGAGCTTGGCAATTTACATTTTGGTCTTCCAACCAACCATTGAACACAGCTGTCCTCTGACACACATGGGGTCACCATAAGCCAGAATCAGCTTGACAAAAACGGGCTGTTGTTCTTGGTATTCAGCCTTCACAGACTAAGAGCTGTACCCAGCTCCTCATGAGAGATGAAGAAACAGGCAAAGGGATGTCACGCCACCTGCCGAAAGTCCCACCGTTTGTTCAGGGAGATGTGGGATTTGAACACAGGCCACCTAGCTCCAGCACTAACTGTCTTCTCCCTGCCTAGGTCATCCAACATCAGGGCTTTTCTTGGCATCTCCCCTCCTCCTCATCCCTGGAAGCTCCAGGCAGACAGAGTTTGTACAAGTAATGGAGCTGCTGTCTGTAAGTGGGTATCGTGTACTAAGTACTGCGCCAGACGTGCTACATGCATCATGCCACTTCCCGCTCATGTTCATCACACAGGAGACAAGGATGTGAAAACCAATGCTCAGGGGTAACCTGGCCAAGTGGTAGGATAGGGTCAGATACAGATCTGCTTGCCTGACTCCTGCAAGCTCTTTGGGGTTACTTGGAATGGTTCCATGGCATCAGGAATGCAGCCCTGTAGCTTGTTGTCTATGAAAACCTTGCTCAAGATGAGGCAAGGGGCTTCAGTGGGAATGCTACTGTCTTTGGAGCCACACAGACCTGTCTGAGGTGGAATTCCAGGTCAAACCTGGAGTCCAAGGCATCCCTTTCTTAGAGTGCCAGCTCACCCATTTGCCAGATATCTTCCCCATACATGAAGGATAAATGAGATTCACACCCAAAGTACCCAACACATTCTCAGCACACGGTAGGTGTTCCAAGATGTTAGTTGTCCCATGGCCCCCACCCCCCATACAAATGTGAGTAAACACACACACACACACACACACTCATCTATGCACACCCAACTCCTGGCTCCACTTGAGAGTCTACAACTCATGGCAGCACTCCACAAGTACTTGTGGGGCCAGCCAATTGGAAGCTGGTGTGACGTCATTTGTACGTCATTGAGCCTCGAGTTAAATGGGAGATAATGGGCACAGGTCACACATCTGGGTGTTTAAACCCTGACAAGGCCATTTCCAGGCTGGCTGATCTTGGGGAAGTGTTGTCACCTCTCTGTCATCTGAAAAAAATTAGGTGCATAAAAACAGTGCCAACTTTCTTGGGGTGGTTGGTGAGAACAGATACTGTCACGTGGCTAACCTAGTGCCCGGCACACATTGTACCCCACCAAAACCTGTGGCAGGCCCTTTCCACAGACCTGGAGAAGGTGAGAATCTGCAGCAAGAACTACAGCTCAGTGACGGTCCTGGATTCAGACACACATGGACATCCCAAAATTGTTCAATGTGCAAAATGGTTCCCTCTGACTTCCAAGGGCCCCCTGCCCTCTGCCTAAAACTCTTTATCATAACTCTGATCCCATCATGCATCGCAGCGAAACATCTGACTTATCGTTGGGTCACTGGCAACCAGGGCCCGAACAAGATGAGGACAGGGGAGGGAAGAAGAAAGGACTCACCACAGGGCCGGAGGGAGGGAGAGACAGAGATGAAGAAGGGGAGAAAGACACAGGAAGGGAGAGAGGAAAGCAAGCAGGCAGGCAGGAAGAGACAATCAGGGAAGGAAGAAGGAACTTTTAGATGGAGGAAAAAGGAAAAGATCTTTTTCACAGAGCCTCCTCAATCAATGTAACCAGTTAGGCATCTTTCTGATTGCATTCAATTACAGTAATATTCCTGCCAATTCCAATCCCCAAGTTCTGCTAAGACAGAAACTATACCATATCAGTCACCTCCCATCCTGAACTTTTCACCACCAGCCCCGATTTCATTGTAATGTTATCCCTTGTCTTAAAGACAATCCATTACAGCTGTAACAGATGATTCATTGAGAAATTTTCTTATATGAGGCTTCACAGATCAGTGAGTCTGTGTTCTGATCTTGGGGTGACTTTTGGGAGGGAGTCTGAGGGTGTGACAATGAGGCTCCCCCGACTAGGGGCTGGAATGGAGGGTATGTGCAGAATGGGGTCCTCTCACACTGGGGCTGTAATAGAGAGAGGTGTGAGCAGAATGGGGCTCCACAAGGCTGGGGTAGAGTGTGTGAGCAGTAGGTCCCCACAGGGCCTGGGGACTGGAACTTACCCTCCAGGGGGCAGAAGCGGACCACCTTCTCGGGCATCAGGAGTCCCAGCTTGTGGCGGCAGTAGGTTTCTGCGATCTCTTGGCGGCAGTGCTTGGACTTGGAGCGGGACAGCGCGGAGATGGCTTCTTTGCCGGAGATGTCACACTTGGGGAGCTGGTCATACTTGATCTCCGGAGAGCTCCCCCCACTCTTTCTGGCGTGAGCGGGTCGGGGGGCATCCTTGGCGCGGCTGCTGTTAGCTGCGGCTCTCCCTCCAGGGGGCAGCACCTCGTTGGCGCCTTTCCCCAGGAAAGGACGCCCCCTGCCTTTGTCCTCTGGCTCCAACTTCTTTTTCAGAAACTCCTTTGGTTTACTGGGGGGCTTCTTTGTCAGCTCTGGCGGGTGCCTCTGCTTTTGAGTCCTGGGGACGAAGTTGCTGTTGTCGATGTTCTCAAAATCTTTGGGGACCGAGTTTTCATTGTTGCTGTCCGTTCGCACTTTCTCTTTTGGCCGGTGTGAGAAGTAGCCATCCTGCAGAAGGTGGGGAGCAACACAGGTAAGAACTTTGGTTACTAGGTGGGCCCTGAGGAGAAGGCAAAGGAAAAGAAGTTTGCGTCTAATAAACACTGGACTGATAATAACCACAGGGTCCGTGGTTCAAACCCACCAGCTGCTCCTTGGAAACCCTACACGGAGCGGACTCGATGACACTTCATAAAAACTAACCAAAAGGTTGGTAGTTCTAACCTACCCAGGGATCTGCTTCCATAAGACAGTGGTCAAGAAAACCACATGGAGCAGAGTTCTGCCTTTGCATGGGGTTGCCATGCGGTGGAATTGACTTGGTGGGAACTGGTTTGGCTTTTTGTTTGAGGGAGGGGTTTGGACACACGCTTTAAAGTCTAGGTCCTGATTTCAGGTCATACCTTCGCTATTGGCTAAGCTCGGGTAAGACTTTTCTCTCTGGAGCTTGGCCTCCTCATCTGGAGGTACAAGATATTCCAAATAGAAATCAAGACTCCATTCAATAATTGTTATCAGGACTGATTGTGAGGGTTGGAAATGTAAAGGTAGATGTTTTGTAGCAAGGAGGGGAGTGGCTGACTTTGCAGTCTGGGAGCTGAGGTCCCTAGGACCATTAAGGGAGAAGAGCTGAGAGTGGGACCCTACCCAGAGAAGCAGTGATGCCTGAGATGGAGGCCCAGACGATGACATGGAGAGATGGAGCAACTGAGGATTTTAGACACAGAGAGGGAGAGGGGCTGTGTGCAGACGACCGGGGGACAGGCTTGTAGTGTATACCCTTTGGTTGGTTGATGATGCATGGAGGCGATTGTAACCATGGCAATGAAACGATAGGATGAATGTAAAACTAATGTTTGCCCATGCAAACTATCACATAATTCAAAATAAAACATTAAAAAAAAAGACTCCATTCAAGCTGTAAAGTATCACAGTCAGTACTCCCAATGCCAGTTATTAATCACACCACTGGTGGTGCAAACCCTTTACACTCAACGTGGCACTGCAGGCTAATGCACTGGACTGCAAGCAGGTTTGAACCCCAAGGTCAGTGGTTCAAGCTCATCGGCTACTCCTCGGAAACCCTATAATGGCTTGCAATGAGTCGGAACCTACTCCATGGCACTTCACAACAACAACAACAACAACAGACCTAAAGATCGGAGATTCAAACCCACAGAGCAGCACCACAGAAGAAAGGTCTGCGATTCTGCTTCTGTAAGATTACACAGCCAAGAAAACCTCACAGATAAGGGCTTGGTGTTTGGTTCTGGTTAGAGTAAGATTCTCTCCTTGGATGCCTCAGTCATTGGTCTAAAGCATTTTGTTCAAAGTTTCTGTTGAAACTACAGCAGGAAGGTGCAGTAATGATAAAGGGCTGGAAATACCATATAATAAACTTTCGGAGGAAGAGCATATTCCTGGGGGATTACAGTTGACCTGTGAACGACATGGGTTTGAACGGCATGAAGCCATTTACACTCGGGGTTTGGGCTTTGTGTGTGTGTGTTAAGTCATGTGACAGTAATCATCTCTCCCATGAGCAATCTGTCTCTCTAGTAAATCGCATGTCATAGTACAGAGTGATTTCTTGAGCTTGTCTCAGATTTTTCTTCATGTTTACAGCAACACCGGGAACCTTGAATAACACCATGGGACTCAGACAAAGTGCCATTAAGAGATGCTGGAAAGGCTCCCAGGAAGCAGAGAAAAATCATAACACGGCAAGGAAAGGGTGAATTGCTAGATGGGTACCGGAGACTGAGATCTGAGGCTGCCCATGGTTTCGAGATAAATCAATCCAGTATCAGAACCATGATTGTTGTTTTTTTAAAAGAAGTAAACTTGTGAAGTTGTCACTGCCGCTACACCACCAGACGTGAAACCCTTGAACTTTTCCTGAACCGTCTTTTTACCTCAGATTCATAATGCAGCATTTATGTGGGATATGATCCGAGTGCATAGGTTGTTGTTGTTGTGAAGTGCCGTCGAGTCGGTTCCGACCCCTAGCAACCCTGTATAGGGTTTCCAAGGAGCAGCTGGTGAGCTTGAATCACTGACCTTGCAGTTCAAACGATTTTGCAGTCTAACGCATTAGCCCACAGAGCCACACCAGGACTCTGAGTGCATACGACACCCCGAATATCTGGTGAATGACTGCTTATGTTACTGGTAAAGTTCCTAGCCAACTATTAGTAGTTAAAGTTTTGGGAAGTCAACAGTTATACGTATATTTTTGACTGTGAGGGGGTTCCAAGTTCAGCTGTATATACATCCCATTGCCTCTAGTATTCGTGCATATATTTATTTATACCCAGAAGAGAAATCGGCTCCAGCTGGGATAAATCTGGGGAAAAGACATGCTTGGCTCTTTTTCGAAGTTGGTGCAGGCTGTGCAGAAATGATCTTCACTGGGTCCCAGAGAGGAGGCAGGATTTGGACACTCTTGTGTTTGGGCTTTAGCTGATTTAGTCTCTCGGGGTCAAGGGAAAGGTCAGGGTCACTCTGGAGACAGTGTTTGTGGTGTGGAACTTTGCTGAGAGGTGCCTACCTGGAGCTGGGCTCTGGCCCCTCCAAGCTCTAATCAAATGTGTTCAAGTAGGGCTTCATTGTTTCCGATACCTGTTGCTTCTGTTTAGGGTCCTTTTCAAAGGCCCCCAAGCTAACCACCTGAGGGCACCTCTAGAATCATAGAGAATGCTAATTATAAATCTATCCCATTGCTATAGAAACACCCTCACAATGAGCAGAGAAGCCCAGCAAAGAATCCCCAGCTAGTTTTTTGTTTTTTTTTTAAGGAGAGTTGCAATGTGTCTTCTAACAGTTCCCAAGGAGAGGAATAGTAAGCGCACTTGGCAGGTAGCTCAAACTACAGCCCGCCACTGACTTTTTTTTTTTTTTTTTATAATTCATAGTAGGCATCTCGAGCAGAGATCATTTATTTAATCATAAAAGAAAAGAACATCTGCAGGGACCCGAAAAAGAACATCAGGAAAGCATAATGAGGATTAATGAGATGATTTTTCAGGCATCATAAACGAATGGGCAGAATTTGACAAGACCCCAAATTTGGCAGCATTCGCAGCATAGGAAGGAAAAGGGTTAGATTTACATTTTATGTTAATTGTCTTACTCTTAAACTCTGTGGTAAAGATTACAATCCAGATTTCAGATTCTCTTCGGAATGTTGGCAGAGTAGGGACTGCACAATCTCAAAAATATTATATAAAATTGCTTAATTAGAAAACTTTGGATAGATTTGAACTGATATAGGTAATTACATCTATAATTCCTAGGGAAGAGTTTATCAGATTCATTCCCACACATTGCTGGGACACTCAAAACCTAGCCACAGGGTTTATTTGTTCATTTGGATGGATAATAGAAGAATATATTTATCACTTTTGCGGCTTTTAGCTTTTATCAAATGATTCATGGTAACCCTACGCACAACAAGAATGGATGATTGTAATCCATGGGGTTTTCATTACCTAACTTTTTTTTTTTTTT